ATTGGTGACTTATCAAAGTATCTTAATCCCAAATGTATCCTAGTAATACTACTCCAAATTAAAGTTTTCATGACGAATATTTTAAACACCAGTGCTATTTCATCCTCCTGAAATTAATAGATACAACCTGTCGGAACTCTCCAATTTCTCTTTCTTGTTTAAAGTGTCTGAACAACAAAGACTAAAATAGTTCTTCGGACAGGGCACAGGGCCCGCCCCACCAGATACCGAGATTGTACGACAAGTGTTTCCTAGTCGTCTGAGTAGATGAGCTTTGAACAAACTATTTACAAAACATTCCCTCATTGTTAGCATACTACAGGTACTAGAGACTCGTGCTATTTTAGGTCATTGAGTAGGTCATGTTACCAACGGTAATCACAACATCGCATGTTGAATCATGTGGAGTTTACTATGATGGAAAACGTGTTACAAATGCGTTTCTCGGTCAATTCCATCATCTGTAGAAACTTAACACCTGTTTTTGAGGGAAACGCTAAGTCATCTGATTCTTGTTGTTTTGAGTTTCTGCTAGTTCGTTGTGTGTTAAGTTTTGCTTGAGTTTCACACTGTCAATATTCGAGTACTACATGTACACGTTTGTTTTACTTAGAAGTACATAGGTAGTCCAAGTACGAACGATTTATAGCGTCGAGTGAGTTTAAAACCTATTCCAATACCGAGGTGTTGAAAGTTAACCTCCTGCCTTCAGCTCTAGTGGCGTGGTTTAATTGTTTATTAAAGTTTTATAATACTGTCTCCATACTTCTCAGTTCTCTACTTAGCTATTGTCACTTATCGCATAACTTTCTGATTCTCAGTTCTGTATTTAGCTATTGTCACAATATATCACCTAACTTTCTACTTCTCAGTTCTCTACTTAGTTATTGTCACTTATTACCTAACTTTCTAATCTGACAATTAGCTGACTTTAGTTTGAAAATTCGTACTCGTGTGTATTTTGATTTTTTCCTTTTCACCCTTTTGAAAAAAGGCAATAGTGAAAGGTTACGAATGGAGGTTTTTGCAGAAAAACGTGGATTTTGGAGATAGCAGTAGGTGGGTCAAATATATGTCGTGTTCCTTGCTTGCTTGCTTCCGTTCGTTACCAAGCAACGAAAAAGTCGCGCGCGCGCGAGGATTGTTTGCGGAGATGTGATGTATAGATAGCCTGTGATCTATGAATGCGCGGCGCGACTGTGTTTTATTGTATACGATGCATGTAATGTATAATATTACTATTACATATTAGGTAATACGCCCAATTTGTACGTGGCACGCGTAGTGTATTGATGTGTACACGAGTAAAGTTTACCTTTGCTGATAATTTCTTGAATTACAGATACAAGTTAAGTTCTACGGCAATTGAACTGAATTTGTCCCTATTTGATGCATAATTTATCTATATTATTATCATGAAGATTGAAGTGAGCTGATTGGAGCTTATACTTAAATTTATAGTAAATGTGAAATGGAAATCTAGCGTCCGCCAAAACGAAACAACGGGCGCAATTCTTGTTGAGACAGCTGCGTACATATTCACACGTACTCAGTGAAGGTTCTAGAATATAGTTTGAGAATATGAACTATTTTTAGAATTGAGACCTGCATTTGTCAGGTGGTTGGCGGCTTGTGTTCTTGTGCCGAAACTGCTATCAAATTTTACAATATACACCCATTTTTTCTGGGCCTCGATATTGTTAGTTTTCCATACTAGTTATACCTTTATACTAGTTTACAGTACTACCTTCTTCCCGATACATTTTGTTCGAATAGATTTAAGAAAAGTGGGTAAAACAAAATGAAGTATGACGCAATAATTTTATCGGATGTAGAAATACTCCAAAACATGACCTCAATACTTCTCATCACAGGTTTAAGTCAGATGGAAGTATCACCGAGATAATATTACACATTTCCTGGAACCCCACACTACTTAACATGTAATTCAGTTCCTCTTCTATCGTCACCGAGCATAATATCTTCACAGTAGTACCCGCTCAGTTTTAGATTTCATCACTCTTTCGTCGGGGAGGCTGATATAGGTTGTTTTTTAGTTTTTCTGCTTTTTTAAGAGAGGCTGAGTAGAGTGGTTAGTTAGCAATTTACAATTTGTTTGAACTATTTGTTCGTAATTTATACTGGCATGTCTTATGTACCCGTAGTTTGCAAAGACAGATACGAATAGATATAATAGTAGAAGTTATTTGGTGTAAAAATGTTGGCTAGATGTTATATTGTTATCCCGACACAATGTTAGATTGTTTAAATCCCAACTGAGTCGTTATTTAGCAATTTCATATTTATTTGAAATGTTTGTTCGCAATTTACACTGACATATCACCTTAGTTTCTTAAGACACATACGAATAGAGAGTAAACATACGAATAGACAGTAAACATTCGAATAGACAGTAGAACTTGTTTGTTGTATAATGTTGGCTTGCTATTATATTGTTATCCCGAGATGTTGACAATATGATGTGTTGTGAGAAGTAAATCTTGCCTTGGTGAGGTAAGTCTGCCAATCCGCTATCAGTTTATGACGATCGACTAGCGGGTGTAATCAATCCGTTAGCGGATGTAACCGAGAAAACTTCCGTTATGTGGTAAAATAAAAAATGGTTCGTGTGGCTCAAACAGATAAATCTATTAATCTAAAGATCCAACGTTATTATGATATTGATTATTGAATCAGTTTCAAAAGAACGAGCTCTAAAAGTTCGGAATCAGTAGTTATCCCTGCATGACGTCATGCTGCGTCAGCTCATGTTTCATAATGCTTCAACTTTTGTAGGACCTTATAATGTAGCCAAATTATTTAAATAGAAACTCAGTATGTGGTTGCATGATTCAACTGTTTCAGGTTCATTTTAAATAGTGCTGTTGATTTTTAAACCATTCTTGGATTTCTCGAAAAATTGTATTTGCCATTATAATGATATATTCTTTTTGTTCGGTCTCAGCAATATTTACTAAAATCTTATAATTAAAAAAATAATAAGAAAATATAATTTCTCTGAATCTAGTAATCTTATTCTGTTATCTGATAATGTTATCTCATACTATTTCGAGTGCATTTTACCTTACTGGAAATTAGATTATAAGTATTAGTTTTTCTCAGCAGCTTAAAAGTTTATTATTTTCGGTTTTTTTAACTGCTGTTGAGATTTTAATTTTCTTACTGGATTAGCTGTGTTTTTTAGCATAAAATTAAAAAATACTGGTTAAAGCTTTATGACATCTCTTATCCAAAATACCCATAAAGCCATAACTGTGAGATGATTCAAACAAGGTAGCAACACGTGGAGACACGTGTGAACTATACCTACCAGATTTTAACTAATATTCTCATTTAACGGTGCTATAAGATAACAGGGTAGAAACTTGTGAAATATACTGACCTCATTATAACTAATATTACTATTATTTATTTATATTATTTATTCATATTATTAATATTACTTCCTGACATTTCCTATCCAATATTCCCATAACGGGGCTATAACAGGGTAGAAACTTGTGAAATATACTCACCTCATTAATTAATATTTCCTGACATTTCCTATCCAATATCCCCATTTAACGGTGCTATAACTATAAGATAACAGGGTAGAAACTTGTGAAATATACTGACCTACAATCTGTTTTATCACAGCTCCACTGACCTCACCCTACACGTGCCTGGTAACCTTTTTACGCTCCCGCTGAAACCGTGTTTCTAGAGGTGTTGTCACTTGTCACCAAGTCACCCTGAGTCATGTCACCAGGTCACCAAAGGTGATGTCATCGTGTTAGTGAGAACAAATAACCACTGTCCGCAACTTAAACCACGTGTTTGTACCGTATCTTGGCTGGTCTGAGTGGGTGGTCGTTCAAGCTAACTTGGTATGATGAGTGTTTTGTCTGATTAGTCTATGTACGCAATCCTGTCTGTCCACCCAGCAGTTACTTAGCTACTTCAATTATTGCCGCCAGAGGAACGTTTACCTTAATACAACTTGTTTAGCTTTTAATGCTACTGTTGTTATTGTAAAGGTCATTCCGCCTGATTTGTTGACAGGGATAACTGTTTCCCAACTTACCCGTTGCAAATGAATTGCCTTATGTCATTTACTACATCCCCGTGTTATGAGTCAGCTTCCAGCCCTGCTATTGGTTGAGTGTCACTATTTCTGACCGGTGATTGGTCCCTCTTTTGGTCACGTGACAGTTAGATTAATTGCACTGTGCACTCCTATCTCTGCTCTGATATTCATTAAGAAACCATGTTCCCAGAGCTGTTGTACTGGATGATAGTTTGTCTTGTACCGTCTTAGTCTACCTTAATGGGGTTTCGGGCCTGACTGTTTTTGTGATATCAGTGAAAAAAAACATTTCGGGGATTTCTTAAATTTCGCGACTCTGTCGGGAAAAACTTCGTATTTTGCGACTTGGTCGAGAAAACTGTCGTATTTTGCGACTTTGTCGTGTTTTTCTTTGTATTCAGTAATTAAGAAAACCTGTCAGTAGTGAACATTTGTTATCATCTTGACAATCTCAGTTATACTTTTATTTGGTTTTAGTTTGCAATGTGTTTTTGAAATAGATTTCAAAAATAAATGATTATAATCCTCATAATTGTAAAGGTGAACGAACCTCTAATATCGACATGATTGACTGACAGTGTACAAACAAACAAAGACATTTGCAGACATGGGCTGCTGCCTTCGACGAGGCTCCAGGTAACACTACACTTCGGGGTGGGGGCGTGAGGCGGTCACGTGATAACGCAGGGGGGGTATTGGGATTGGGGGCGGGGGTGTTTTGGGCTGTTGTTACGCAACAACAGTTTAACACGTGCCACAAATCCTTATTACCGACTTGAAACATGTGACAATTAACGAATCCCACTACAATCGATTACAAAACTTACAGACAGGTCATTGCCTTGCTAATTAAACAATAACTATGATAATATCTACCGCTATTTTATCTATTATTAACGAAAAAATCCAAAGAATGCGGGTTAAGTCGTGTCCAGGAAAGTGCAGTAAGGTAATACTCCTGCTGGTGAATATTGTGATATTTCTAGTTGGAGGAGGGCTGCTGGGTCTGGGGATTTACTATCATCTAGATGGTGGACTCTACGATAATGTGAGGATTTATCATGTTGTTATATCTTTTAATTAGCATCATGTAATTATTGGCTAATTATCACAAATAATTGAGTATTTCACAGTTACTTCTTGTAATTTTGAACTTGACAATTTGAACCCGAATTAAATAGGCTCATGATTTCACTAAGACTGAGACTAATGACGTCATATTTTCAGGTGTTCAAACTCTATGACGTCATCACAGTACCTGTTGTTATGATGTTTTTAGGTTCTCTTTTCATCACAATCTCCTTCTTTGCTATAGTCGGTGCTCTTTGTGAGGTAAATTCGTAATTAGTAATTACCTTAGGTTTTAACTGCACTGATAGCTAATTAATCAAGTTTCATCAATAATTTATTAAGTATGTTCGTATCGTAAATAATTGGAGAAGTCTAAGTATTAATAAAATCCTAATTTAAGTATGTAACAAACTTTTAAATAAGGTCTGATAACGTTTCGTTTCAGGTAGTGATCATGCTGAAGATATACATGAGTATTGTAGCGATAGTTTTAGTGTTTGAAGTGATACTGATGGCGGTATGTGTCGCTATGCGAGGTAAAACTACACCTTTTTATGATTTGTTAAACATTAGAAATATCTCTGAAGTCTAACTAAAAGATTGCAATGTCCTTCTTTCAAAGAATAATTAAAATTGAAATGTTGTTTAACAAATTCCTCTCCCCCTTCTAAATCTTATACTTAACCAGGAGCAGTAGAAAAGAAAGCTGTACTAGTTATACATAATCTCATGGGTCATTATGGGGACAAGGACTCAGACGATCTCAGTATCATCACTAAAACCATCGACGAAACCCAAGTGTGGTAAGTAATATATGTCACGTGGGTCGTGGCTTCACTTGATTCAGGTGTGGTAAGTGTGCTTATACTTTTAACCAATGATCGGAACTTATTGTTGCACAAATGACCTTGTTAGGTAATTGTGGGACATTTATTGTACACACGTTGTTGCGACAAAGGAAACTACTCTGCATGGTTAAGGTATATAAGAGAGGGTATTACATTTAACGACTGAAGATTGCTCAATCTGAACGGAAGTTCTGTGGTTTTTTAAAGCAGATTACTACCTCTTGTCTCTTCATATTACTGGGTGGTCATGGTAGGATTCCAGTACATTCTTCAGATATTTGCGTTAAACACGTGACATATTACTAACTCTCCCTCCTCCTCCAGGCTATCCTGCTGTGGACTGGGTGGAGCTGCTGACTGGGGTAACGCTACTCTCGCTGCATACTGGGCAGGCAAATACCACACAGACGCCTCCAACATCTTCCCCCTTCCTGCATCCTGCTGTACTGACCGCAAAGCGGACTCCTGTCAATATGACTCCTCTGACGAACAAACTGTTCATTTTACTCTAGGCTGTACTGAAGCTTTTGATACATTTGTGGAGGACAATGTCACGTATATCACAGTGGGAGGGATTGTTATGATTGTGCTGCAAGTGTTTATACTGATAAGTGCGCTGAAGATAAGATTCGAGTTGAGCAGCAAGTATGATTGTGATGATTACGTTGGCGGTAATGATATGGAGATAACGAGCCTGTGAAATATTAGCTGATTAGTTAGCTCAGCTAATTGGATAGTTAGCTCATTAACTAGTTATGAACTAATTAGTTTTTTAATTTGTACGAGTGATGTACGATCTTGAACTCTTGAAGTGGTGATGATGTCAAGAAACATAAGACTGTGAAAATCAGATCTCACATGGAATACTCTCAGATTGGTGACGTCATGGGCTAATGAATGCCACTTATTTTGATCACTAATGGATTGATCGACTCGTGCTCTAATAATAAGAAATGTATAATGAAGAACTCAAAGACTGATTATTTTCACTCCTGGTTGAAAAGTATGCTGATTTAATTGAACTTTAATATTAAATGATTGTTAGTTGTAAATATCTATTCAAATTTCGTTATTTAATCCTTTTTTAAGTCTTTTTCGTCCGAAACAGCATGTTTTCATGCTATGTTCCTTCAAAAGAAGTCTCTTAGTAACTCTCATCATAAATACAAGATCATAGATACCAACTCGAAGTTAACAAAGTAACGGATACGGTGTTGGAGCACTAAATTGCAACATACAATACACACACATAACATTGTTCTAACTGTCACCCTCTACACTGTATCACATACTAATCCTCATAAAAACAAACGAAAACAACTTTAATTAATACCCCTTATAATATAACACCGCTCTCAATACAACCACTCAGGGACAAAAGGAAATCGCGGCATGTACGGAATCCCATTATTTGCGACAAATTTTATGTATAGTTTAATGTATAGTCTGTTAAAATTCGCGGTATCGCGATTTTTTGCCAAAATAATCGCTAAATCCTTTTGTAGCTTTGTCCCTGCCACCACTAGCTAGTACATTACACAACTCGTCCATCTTGTACTGTACAACACATAATATGCAGTGTTCACAGAGGTAAAGATTACAGGTGTTGACAGGTACAGCTTGATAAAGCTCTAGCACCTGACAAATGTATCGCTAACTTCTACCATCTTCTTGATAACGTACACTGGGTTGTACATTGTACATTCCGAGAGATCAGACAGGATATACTGTCTGATGTGGATTGTGTGTAATTTAGGCTTTCGTGTCTAAATATTTGGTAAATTTCTTTGTGATTAAGTGGGTTTTTTAGCGTGTACTACGCGAGATTGACATTTCTTTAGTGGGTAACAATTGATCACGGATGGGACGGAAATTTGTAGAGTTTTGATAACTATTTGGGATGCACTTTCAATCATTTCCGGGATAAACCACCGTTAAATTCAGCGTACATTCTGTACACGGTAATTTATGTAATGAACAACATGCTTAATTGTCGTGTGTACCGAGTTAAAGTTGTGTGTGTGTATTGATTATGTGTAAGCTGATGGGGTTTAATATGTTTAATAATACCAAGGGTATCAATGTGATTGTTTTACAGTACACCGGGAAATTGTGTGTGAGATTTGCGAATGATGTGGCCGCTTTGCCTCTTTAAATGATGAACAAGATTAATTTAGATATGTGGTAAGTGACACGGATATCGTGGGTATCAGTTCCAGATCATATCTTATTAGTTTGATGTGCATTGTGCCCTGAAAATGTTCTAATTCCTAAACATTTTAATCGAAAAAGATATCAATACATGACACGTCCACTCCATTTGATGAAAATAAATTGTCGAATTTCATTAATCTTGACCCTGTAAGCGATCATGAGAATTATTTATGAGATCAGTCAGTAAAAGGGTCTACTTAATATACCGTAATCGGGTCTATATGGAACGCGCGAAGCAACATTATCGAATGAAATCTACTGCTCCGCGCAGTTTGTTCTATTTAATTACCCAGCTCAGGCCAATTAACACCGCTCTTGATTACTAGCTCAATAATTGCCATGCTTTGGTAGAAGATCTGACATAAATTTCCGATCATCACTGATTGCAAGTTCTTATAAAATTAGGAAAGTAATATAGATCTCATCCTAATATAGGCTCGTACACCTTATTAATGCTTTTCATACAAAGTTATGAGTTCTTCATGTCGTGCATCCTGGGTTTGGACAGGATATGCCCGCTTAAAATATGTTTAAAATGTCACATTTCTGTGACTTTGTTAACTATAGCTACCCAATTAACATTCCTTGGTCGGAAATATAGTAGATTAGGTCAATCTAACAATTATAATAAAACATTGGTTAAACTCGATATATAAGATCTTAGTGAGAGGTATAGAAAACATCGTAAAGATTTGACTGTCTAACATAATTCATTGCTAAATATTATAGTGAATTGCTAATTATTTGGAGTTAAACTATCAAACAAGCACAATTAACTGACCAATTCATTAATTACCATTTATAAATCGATAATATTGAATCAATATTTAATTTTAAGGATACAAAATTTGGGATTTTTATTTTACAAAACTCTCAGAAGTAAGAGTCACGTGACAAAACTTGAATATTACCAAATCCTTTCTCAGGAAATCAGGACAACCGACAATGATTTAATTCAAGGATATTCAGCTTTTTTTTAGCAGCCTTTTCTCATGAGAATTAATTATGTCCCAAAATTTCCAGCTCAGACAAGTATAGCTCTAACTGGCTTTCTCTCAAGTAATCTTTGTTCCTACTCAATTTGCAAAATGGTTAACCTATCAAGCGTGGAAACTGGAAAGTGCAAGGAACTAAATTAGTTTTACGAACTTCTTGGCAGTGAAAATTAATAATAATATTATATCACATCCTTTCTCAAGAAATCTGGACAAGGATCAAACCAAGTCATCAATTTTTTAGTTGAGCAGCAATTCTCATGAGAATTAATTAAATTGTGTCTTTTCAGCTCCTCCCTCAGCCTAGCTCATAGCTGATTAGCGATTAGCTGTTACCCAATCTTTGTTCTTACTCTATTTTTTTTAAATGTTTACATTCAAATATCAAATCAACAAGCAGTACGAGCCAGTACGTTTTAACCAAAGTAAACAAGAAGTAACAAGAGTAGACAAGTTATTATCATAAATGATATGCAATCGGCATATCCGACCATGAGACCCCTTGAGCATGATTGCACGTGTGAGACACAGTTGTTCCTTTTTGTCATGCAGGTGACAAATTATGAATATAATTATCAAAGCACAATATAATAGTTCCCGATTCAGGGCACAATTGTACAGCTTTATAGCATGCAGGCGCACTTAATCACTGGCTCGTTCCAATTAAGCGGCTCATTCCCGATTTTGGGCACAATAGTACCCTGATTCGCATGCAAGTTAAGCATATTTTATCACTGGATCGTTTTTACCGGGCAGTAGTCTGCACAAAACTTGACTCGGAGCCAAAACTGGATCGTAATATTAAACGTGATAAAACCACTTTTTTCCACATTTCATGGTACCGCAGCCCTGCTCATTATTAAGTTATTAGCCGAAAATATTTGGACTCGAGCAGTGGCGTAACGTTGCCTGTTGGCGCCCCCTGCCGAAAAGGCGCCCCCTGTTGGCGCCCCTCCCCTTTTGGTGCCCCTCCCTAAAATTGAACAAATTAGGTGATTTTAGAGGATACGCAGATAAAATCTCTAAAAAAGTGTGTATCTAGAGCAAAACGCGCAGTTTTGCTAGTACTTTAGTTAAGTTTTCGAAATTGTCCCACATTCAAACGACGATTTGGCGCCCCCCTAAGAGTTAAGACGGCGCCCCCCTGCACAGCAGGGCCCTTCGTTACGCCACTGGACTCGAGGCTTCCCCTTGTATTTGTAATGCGGTTTCGGAAGCCAGGCCTCCCCTTATTAGCAACACGAGCTCGAAAGCGGGAGCTCTACCCTCAGAGGCACGTATCGAGAATGATTTTTTTCAAAGTTTTTCTGGAAACAACTTTTCTTCGGTTTTTTCTAAGTCCGCACCTAGTCAAAACATTTTTGATTTTTTAAGGATTCAAGTCTAGTTAAAATTAAAATGTGACGAAAAATATGCATTTCAAGATTTTAGAAATACATTATTTTGAAGAAATATCTGGCGAAAATCCGGCAAAATTTTTTGAAACCGGATCGGAACCGGAACTGGATATTGAAGCCGGATATCCGGTCGGTTCCTACCTTCAAATAAAGCCCAGGTCCCATATTGATATGGTATACACGGTAACATTTAAAAAAGAATTTCCGTTGGTTTATAGCTTTAAGTCCTCTAACATGCATTTTTCGTGGATCCTACAGTATAATAATATAATAGCAGTCGAATTCTGCAAAAGTGGAAACTTTCAAATGTTGTCCCAATATTTAAGAAAAATAAAAAGAGTGAGGTTGAAAACTATTGAGCAATATCCCTTACTTGTTAAGTCATGAACATTTTTGAGCGGATTATTAAAAGAAAACTTCTTTCTTTGACTAACGTCCTTCTTCAAGCTCCCTGATTATTGCACTGTTCACCAAACACAAAACAGAGCTCACCGCCATCATTGAAGCTTGCAAATATCTCTCTACCTATACCAACATGCACATATTGATATCATCATATGGTCTGACAGTCTATCATCTATACAAGCTATCTCTGCGCTTTCAACGCGGAGTAGAACTACAAGAGACTGTTACGAATCTTTTAATATATATTTTACCAAAACCCATAATCATGGGTAGAGTGGAGCGCTGCCAGTGTCTCTCTTTCCCAAACAAAAGGCAATGATATCAATTTGAATGACCGTTATCAAATGCAAAATGATACCGAGAATGAAATCGGTCGCTCGCTTTTCCCACTCATTCATGGCTTACGAATTGTAATAAGTTTCGATTTATAACATGTAATCTATTTCAATTGTAAATGAATGGGAAAAGCGAGCGACCGATTTCATTCTCGGTATCATTTTGCATTTGATAACGGTCATTCAAATTGATATCATTGCCTTTTGTTTGGGAAAGAGAGACACTGGCAGCGCTCCACTCTACCCATGATTATGGGTTTTGGTAAAATATCATCTCTTTTTTATTATAATGTCAGGGTACTTTACAAAGCCGAAATGTAAACTCATAACTTCATTAATATTAATAAGGAGGTTATTTCAACGATTTCGAAATTTTTCCTTTGAAAACATTTCCTTGTGTTTAGGTAAGCATATCGGTCGATCACTGACTGAATATGCCACTTTATACTCATTCAAGTTGGCATTAAATTCATATATAATGACATTGAACTGTCGTGGCAAAGCAGAATTTGTTCAAAATCACGAATGAGCAAAATTTTAACCTTTCGCACGTGCAAACCTTGAGCGGAAGTTGCGTGCACATCCAATATTGAATCACCGTAAATTTTTGCATGATGGTGTTTTATATATAGTTTGATAAGCATGCAAAGTTTCGTAGTATTTTAAGAAGAACTGTAATCACAACGGCACTCCAAAGTTGACGGAAATTGGTGAAAACAGCAATTTTCA